ATGACTTGCTTCACACATTCAGCAGCCTGTTTGTCAGTCTACTTTTGCCAAGAAAACTCATGTAAGGCGTATGTTCAACAAAACTAGATAAAACCAGCAAAATTATACGAAATGCCTGACAATGCATGCCAGTTGGTAATCTGGAATTATTTACAACCTGAACAAATGTCTTCCCCTTCCAAGGGGTAGGCTGATGTAAGGAAAACCGATTTGCAACCATCTATAAACTAGGAGCACTGTCGATCAAATAGTCTGCAACAACGTGTGCATTTGTAGGCACGGCCACTATCGCGATCACAACCAACATATTCGGAAGATAAAGGCTTGAGTAGGGACATTTAGTAAGAACAATACGAGTGTACCAATCAATAGCATTCTTCCATTCTCAAGTCTGTGCCTAATTTAAAAACTTGATCTTGCTTCAAAACTCACCCAAATTCCTAAACTTACCCCTGCAATTTTAGCAAATGGGAATTTGAATTACTTACGAATTAAGGGCAAGGCATGCAATTAAACATTTTAAACCACGTGACAATCAGTTAGCAAGAATCAACACCAACTTTATGCTAAATAGAACAAGGAGAGAAGGCGAATAAACAGGTTAAATTTAATGGACTACTGAGAAGGCAAAAAGTCGAATATTATTTGATTATTTGTAATAAGACGACTTGAAATTCAGGCACATCATATGTCTTAGACTCCCCTTTTACTTCTGTCAGGCATCAATGAGCAGCAAGAATCCCTTATGGGCCATGTCTGACCAACCCCAGAACCCGCACAACTCTGCCGTCTCCAAGGTCTTGGCTCTCGATGTCACACTGACATACGACGTCACCAAATCGATAGCCTCACCAGTAGCTGTAGAACACTCAGCACTCGTGCTTTCATCTTTAGGTGCACTAAGAGCTATCAACACTTTAGTGGCAGCTTTAACCGACAACTCAATAATGACGACATGGACCGTGCCACCTGAAACAAAAGAGAATACAGAAGCAGCTCAATTGAAAAATTTAGTAAAATATGATGCACAGCCAGAGAGGTACGAGTAAGGAAATGGTGGTTGTTCTTTTTTGAACAAGATCTTTTTCCTGCTCGAGCGCTGAGTGCTATTCTGCAGCTGGTGAAGGAGTCAGAGATGTCGGAGAAATAATCCATAAATCCAGGGTTAATGGTCATGAAGACGGTACTGTAGCAAAGAGTTAAAGGTGGTAGCATCGTTTTGGTTCTACGACGAAGCACCAGCTACTGCCCCTGCCACATCACACCCCTCCTCCCGATTCCACTCAACACACCGACGTACAAGTCTCAAAAGCATAGTTGACCATCTCTAAGTTAGGAGCATGATGCCGAATTCGACAATACCAAGGCCGACATCAACTGCATGGATAAAACGTCCACTAGCTCGACTGTATTGTGTCATGCCTGCCAAAGTTGACGGCGATATTAACAACCGCTATTGCCCCGATAGTAGAAAATAAACTGACCGAGCTACGGAGCGACTACAGGTCTGACCAGCCGCCTAGTCCATAGGTAGTGTTAGTAAAACTATTTTAAGATTCAATGAGAAGATCAAGGCGACTGTATTTTTCATGATCAATTTCCTCAATGCTTTCAAACAATTCTGCGATGCACGTCATAACCTTGAAGTGTTTAGAGGATAGTCGCGGCAAATAATGCTGTAATATTATTCAAGTCGCCTACGCATGTGCTACCTGCCCAAAGGTCCTAGATTTATGCGCAACGCGAGTCAGACTAGAGCCTAACTTTGAAACAGTCAAGTAAGAACAGAGCCGGCTCCTCTAACGATTATTCTGAACATAGTCAAGAAACCCCTGCTTGCCAAAATCTTTGTGTACCTCTTTGTGGAATGACATCTTTTAAATTATGCCAAAGCATAGTTCATTTTCTACCTCTTTCGTATCATATAGTGCATCAGTTGAACCTTAGAAGGCGGCCTTATAGATGCCACATTTACCTCAATGTTAGGCTAATGTTCGGGAGAATTTGTAGATCAAGTTGATACTGTAAGAAACACCCAGTAAACTTCCCACAAACAGAGGCCTGTTTTCAAAAACCAACACTAATATCCATTTGTAAATCGTGATGCACGTTTGGCATTTATTCCACATTAAACGGCCCACACTTGCTGAAAACCATAAGTGACACGAGCCACGTCGTAGGTGAATTGCAGTCCACGTGGCAAATTTGTAACTTAAATAGTCGCGCTTGCATTTCGCATTGTATTGCAGAGCATTTTAAAGAGGCCTATATAGAAATAGGCGCTGGATTTGAATAAGAATATAATTCTGCTCGTGAGCAGATATGATGAGATACGATGAAGAATAATCCAGATGACACCAGGGCGCTTGAATGGATATTTTGGTGACACCTGCATGCTCTATTATAGATTGCGTTGTGAGGTGTTAGTATAGATGATATAGGTCATATCAGCTGCTCATAATTTAGGGTCAGATTCCAAGCGTGTGATTCTATTACAATTGCTCAGTTTGTGGTTTGTGATTGTAAAAATCTTGCTATCGCACCATGCTTGAGAAATAGAGCTGAGCCAATCCAACAGTTGCGCAGAGCATTGCCTACCCGATGTGGGCTGATTCACGAGGTCAGTGTGGAACGCATCATATCACCTCATCTCATACCATAACTTGGCACGCATCGCCATGACCCAACATACAATTTCCACATATGCAATTATCTCTACGTTTTATTCTCTTTTCCACTATGACGTACGGGCTAAGTGGTAAATTGTGTTGCAGCGCATTTATATTTGCTTTTAATTTTGCTCTGTGTCAACCAAGTATTTTGCGCACAATTTGTGCATTGTTAGATGTCCCCGCTAAGGTGTTAAGCCTGATCATTCAAATCTCTGCTGCGACATGCCAGCAACTGCGGGTGTTGAACGTGCATCAATTCCGGAGACTCATCTGGACATTAATGAAAAGATGCATCCTCCTGCCATTAATGTGCCGCTGATGGTGCTTTCCTGTGTAGTAGACTACTCATGCATCTCGAGTGTCAGCGCTTTAAAATGTCTTACTTAAATATTTTTGCAACGCTTGTTGCAGTTTGCTTTCTTTATTGTTTTCAGGAGTATCCTAATAAACTAAAACTTCTGGCAGATCACTGGGTGAGTCAATTTAAATTTAAGCATCCAGCTTCAAGGGCTTTATTTCATTACCATAATCTTGGACAAAATCTTGCACATTTCGGTTATTTTAGAGCCAAAAAGTGGCATTGCAAAGAAAGTGAGGATCTACAAGTTCAATAACTGCACTGAATTCAAAACTATGCCTAAAAGACGA